GTAGTGAATTGTTGCGAGGATCACACTACTTCTCTCACGCGGAGAGACACTGGTTCTCCTCAACTAATAGGGCCAGAGGGGTATTTCTACTATAGCCTCTCATCTCACACTTTTGACCCGATGCAGAGTGAAGTGAGCGACATCTTGAATTGGTACCGGTGTAACAGGGTCCTACAGTCATATCAATTAGCCAATTGCATCAGTATTCTGATTGGGGTATATTACCATCCCATATGCCACCGCATTCAAATATACTCTATGAGCTTCACCTATACTTGAGCCAATGAAAAATCCGTCCAAATAGCTCTCATCTGTAGTACGCCAAGCTAACCTGTTTCCCTGCCACACAAAATTTCCGCTAGGGCTCTCATCCGGAGTGGTCTCCCATGTCAATTCCAGTGCTCCTGTCAAAAGAGGGCTATCTCTCTCTACTACATGAAGGTATAATCTACTGTCGTTGGGGATAGTTACAGCTAGGTGCCTTCTTGCGATATCATTGTTGTGTGTTTGACAAATTTGCAATTCGCCACAAGAGTTTTCTGGTCCTAGCTGGAGGAATCCGTTCTGAGCTACGTTTCCCGTTCGTAAGCAGATTGTATTGAAAAACGGAGGTGTAAAATATACATACCTGGCACCTGAATAAATTCCCTGTATGGCCTTCGTGGCTCCTCCATAGAGGCTCTTAGTTTGAAACATACCAATTTATCGCCCACAAGTGGTAGACTTGACAGATTATGGATGTACTGTGAGCATTTCTGCCTAATATTTGTCTGGTACCACCATGCATAAAGGCACAGTAATACCAGCACACCCAAACTGCACCCACCAGTTAACATCCACACGCTAAGCGCCATCTTCCGATCCAGTTCTGTATCAGTCGCTAACTGGACCATGAAGTTTCCATTGGGATTTATAAAGCTTCTCACTCCAGCTTTGCATATACAGTTCCGGAAAACCCCGGTAAGCTGCATGATCGTTCCACCAACCCCGGAAAGGAATGCCAACATGAATGCGAAACCTCGAAGAATATTTATCAACTTTTTCGCCCACTTGGGCCAGCCGGGTCTTTTTCCTATTGTCTGTCTAATAACGAAAATCCCAATCAACTCAACTTGGGAGACCCAATATAAAAAGAACATAAAACTCCTACAACCAAGGCCAATTTCTGGAGTCTCGAAAGAAACCAGAAATGCAAGCCAGCAAGGAGCTGACATAAGGATTGCTGCAGAGAGACCTGTAAAATATATCGATGTGTTGGTTCCTAAGTATCCCTCCAACCCATTGGCTTTGGCCCATTTGGAGGTACTTACACCACGATCCCAGATGGATACGGGCTTGTACCTCGAAAGAAACACTTCGCTTGCACTATCCCCACGGGTTTTTGGCGGAGCGGTTTTTGAGACTATGCCTTCGAGGGCAGCGGGATTATTGCAACCTAGTAGGCACTGTATATAGAGTTAGTCGATGGTAGAAATGGGAGCTGGGGTATAACTTGACTTACTCCACAGACAATTGCTACTATCACAAAAACTGAGTACCAGATACCGAGTGCAATGGCGTGGGAGGTATCATTGTCTCCAAGATTCTTCAGCGCATCGATTAGCGCATAAATGAATGATCCTACATAAAAAATCACCGGCGATCCAACAACAGCTCCGAAGGATCCCTAGAGATAATTGCACTTAGCATTGTCATTTCTCCAAAGGACGAGATGAGCCTTCATACCTGCGATTCTAGCAACGAGTGTAACCTTGCCTTTGCCTGTATCTCTGATGCGTTTACAATAAATTGCTCCGCGCCCTCCTTTGGTTTCCCTTCCTTTATATTCAAATTTCCCAACAACAAAGTCACCAGTATCCTCCTCCTCCGCAGCTCCCTATCCACCTTGGTACCAGTGCCTTCGGGCTCGTGTAATGTTGCCAATTCCCGCAAGAGTCTATGGTCTAAAAGCATTTCATAAAGCCCTCCCACTAGTATTGGTCCTGCACAGACAAAGACAACCGTAATCCATCTAAGTGTCTCCACCGTCACAATGACCATTGCGAGAACAAGGTTCATGGACCCCCGCGCTGTAAACCAATCCTCTTTGAAAAGCCTCCCGGGAATTCTTAGCTGCCAGCCCCTGGGAATAGAAATACTGAACACTAAGGCCGGGATAAGGAATCCGACCAGTGGGCTCAATATTTCATTTAAGTGGTTCCTCGACACGCGAGATGGTTGGAATCCTCCGCATTCTGCACGGCACCAGGTCAGGCTGACATATATGGGCAGGGCGGCGTCTTTCCCATCATCGAAGCTGGCACCACAGGTGTACGTGTTATTATTTTGAGAGTTGCTAGTGAAATAAAACTGATCTCGGGCCTTTTCACAGCACTTATGAAAGTCTGCGTATTGAATATCTGCACTCGCAAGCGGAAGGTAGACGAGGAGGTCGAATAGTATAAAAATGGGCCAGATATAGGCAGGTTTTGAGAATGTACGCGTCATAGTGTTCAGCAGGCTTGCCTTCTTCTAGAATTCTCTGTATATGTATTTAGCCTAGATTGTGAAAGTAAAAAGCTGGTAGATTGTAAAAGTACAAAGCTTGGGATAACGTCTATAAAGATGTGTAGTCTTTCTTGCTCATTATATACATATTATATGCAGTGAGGCTCCATTTTTATTCCAACCTCAAAATCTAGGCAAGAATATCTGATATGGGTCATATACTACATGTAATAAGTGGCATTGCAACATAGGAATGTATACATGTAGATATAGTAGGGCAACCACTTTATCAAAATTCCAGTCATTCGGTCACAAACACACAGGTATCATTTGATCAGCTGAAATAAAGCCAGTGTTCGCGTACAATCTTCTCCCCAAACATCCCCCCCAATCTGGTGGGGCATTATATCAGGAGTCAACTCAATTAAGGATCAGGTCGCACATGGTAAGCTAAGGTAGTACATTATACCTAGCAACCTCCTATCATCTGAGTCGGAATATTACACTAGTTCTCGTCCTATGTCAGGCAGTAACACAAAGCACCTGGGCTCGCTGAAACAGATAACCAATCAAACAAGGCTGTGATTGGACTCAAATAAAGCATGATGTTCTGAAGCCTTCACCAGGAAGTAGGGGATGCTCGGCTATATATTCATAAAGCATAAAATGAGGCGAAGTTAGGGCTGTGGCCAGTCAACACCGGCGAGAGCTATGGTGAACGGTCATAAGTGCACATGATGTATAAACTCGTGATCTTGGTGAGAATAAGCGAGAAGTAGGTACAGGAATTTGCTTAATCTGGGCGTTTGGATAATTTATTGCCTTCAGTTGCATAATAACATGTATGTTTATAACCTACATCTTAGTCTTTAGAAGCTGAGATATGAACGTGTTGTACATACATGTACATATTATGCCCCGGGCCCTAGGACATATGCGAAAGGCCCCAGGTCCTGATTTTAGTAATACATATAAATATATAGTGGATAGGAGTTATTTGGGCACTGCCACGTATCTGCCTTGCAGAATGTGGCATTTCTAAGTTCTTACGTTCTTTAGCTGAATGAGTGAGTCTGCCAATGCTAGTGTGTGTGCAGATGATCAGAGAGAGTGCTTATCTTCATTGATATTCATATATTAATTAATTGTAGGCAAAATTAACCCTCGCTTAGGCAGCACTCAATGTGCATACATCTATTTCGCACATTGATTTTAAACTGCGGATATAATATTCATCCGAACCAAGGTTGGTATGAGTAAGGGGTTATTCCTCTAGGTTCAATGTCAATCAGTGGGGGCCGGGAGCCCTCTAAGGAGGAAATCGCTCCATATATACGTCATAAATCTACATTCAGGTGTTCGGCGGTAAGATCATTGGCTCCGTGGTTTTAAGGTTAACTGCGCGCGCATCGATAGATACATGTATTCTCAGAAGTTCTGTCACGGACGTTATGTAGGTACTTTGTATACATGTACTTTGCATCCAAGCAAGGATATGGCCGTCTGATATGATATATACATGTATGTGATGTAGGTCACTGTGGATTAAGGACACAAGCATTTACCGTCGGTAATAAGAATATGAGTACTCGCTTATCAAATGTGCATATTTGAAATGCGAGTACATGTACTTCCCTTGCACACACGTCTTTACGTGTTTTCTACCCTTCCACAAATACAGGCTGCTACTAGTGCTTACATGTTTTATTGGTCGTTGACTGAGCGGGTAAGCGCGGTACACACTTGGAATAGTTGGTAGCAGCCTTGCAGTAACAATGGTCAACTTTTGGATAAGCGTGTCGAGAATGTAACGATAGCGCTATCCCCATCAAAACGGTGCTTACTATATGTAACCCAATTATATGTAACTATATTGTGGTCACTCATAGCCGAGTGAGGGCCTATGAGTCCACGATCTGTCACGTACACACAGTACATCTAGAAGCTGCGACCAGGGATTAACTGATTGTCTAGATTCAGGGCAAAGGACTTCTGTGCCGCAGAGATTGCCAAAGACATGTAGCTCGGATACATCGAAAGGTGATAAACAATGGTACGGAAGCCCTTTGCCCTTGGATTTAACATGGCTCATGGAATCCTGAGACTCTTCCATATCGATATCAACTCCACAGTACGTCGTGTAGTGTGTACATGTAGATCAACTGCGGTCACCAAGGTTCGGTCGGTTATTTAACATTTCGCACGGTGCCCGTGCGCACGGAATTTCGAAACTCTTCCACAACGTGTACTACATGTATCCATGAACCACTAAACTCCAGCATTCTAGCCCCGTTAACTCCGCGACAACGACTATCCCATATTAGATGATGTCATTAGCGGAAATCGAATTGCATCCCTTAGTTTCTACGGATTGATTGTATAATCTTCAAACTTTTGAAGCTCGACCCTTATATATATCGACATGAACTCATGTCAGTTCTCAATTCCAATCACAATAGCAATCAAATCAACACTTCGGATTAAACGATATATAGGCTAAATTTACAAAAATCATGACAGTACTACCCACTCGCCCACTCGGAAGAAATGGTCCGCAGGTCAACGCCCTCGGACTTGGTCTCATGGTACATTCACATTATCACTTAATTTTTCATTCGGTCTGCAATATGCTGACCTTTGCTAGGGATTGAGTGCGTTCTACGGAAAGGTGGACTCAGATGAGGAGCGTTTTAAAGTTCTCGACCGCGCTTATGAGCTTGGCGAGAGATTCTGGGATACCTCTGACTTCTATGGAGATAACGAGGAGCTTATTGGAAAATGGTTCAAGAGGACTGGTAAGAGAAAGGACATCTTTCTCGCTACCAAGTTTGCGGCAACGGTAAGCAAGTACCTACTTCCCTATTTGTGGTGTAAAAGAGTGGTGCTGACGCAGGAGATGGTGTTAAGACGAATACAGGGGGGAAAGGTGTAAACATAATCGTGAGAGGCGACAAAGAATATGTGCATGAGGCATACCAAAAGTCAATCGCCAGGTTAGGGGTAGATTATATCGACCTTTACTACATTCATAGGTACGGCTCCTTCACAGTGTTGGCATGAGTAGCACTAACAGCGTAGGTGAATACTATAGAGTGGACAGAAATGTCCCCATCGAGGAAACAATGGAAGCCCTGGCAGAGCTCGTAAAGTAAGCTCTTCATTCGTCCCTCCAGTGATATCTGCTAATTATCTCTAGAGCTGGCAAGATTGGACACATTGGTATCTCAGAATGTAGCGCTGCCACTCTTCGGCGTGCACACGCTGTCCATCCTATCGCTGCCCTACAAGTCGAATATTCCCCCTTCACCCTCGACATTGAGAATTCCACCATCAACCTCCTAAGTACCTGCCGCGAGCTTGGTATCACAACAGTTGCGTACAGTCCGCTTGGTCGTGGAATGGTAACAGGGGCTTACAAGAGTCCCGACGATTTCGAAGAAGGTGACTTCAGGAGGGGCCTGCCGAGATACTCTAAGGAGAACTTCCCGAAGAACTTGGAGCTGGTGGAGAAGTTGAGACAGATAGCCGACAAAAAGAAGTGCACTCCCGGACAATTGACGTTGGCATGGTTGATGGCCCAAGGGGAAGATATTATTCCGATTCCGGGGTATGTATTCCTAGTCTCTGGATTGAAGAGACGATACTAATATTTGTATTGACGCTTAGAACTAAAAAAATCAAATACCTGGAAGAGAACGTTGGCGCATTGGATGTTGAGTTGACTGCTGAGGAGGTTAAGGAAATTCGTGAAGCCACCGAAGCTGCTGAGCCAGCTGGCGAGAGATACATGGCTGGGTCAGTGTCCTCCCACTCTCTAGCACTAGATATAGTGATTTTAGAATGCTGACAGTTAATGATATAACAGGATTGCCCACACTTTATACGCAGATACCCCGGAAAGGAAGTAGAGGGGGGTGTTTTATCGCGTACAATGCGTACCATCACTGAAATCGAAACGGTCATAAGTCTTCATGACCCGTGTCTGGCAATCACATTGCATGTAGATATTTGAAGAAGCGGAGGAATATATAGTTAAATACATAAAATGCACATCTCTAAATATTTCCGTATTTCACTATAAGAAATTCAAATATAGTGATCTATACCATATTCTGCTGAGGCATGATATATATCGATAAATCTACTGGGTAGACTCCAAGACCAAGGACTGGAGTCTCGGAATGGCATGTGTCAATAACTTAGTCTCTAATAGCGTCTCTAACAAACTCCACCCCGTTCTATTACTTTACGAGCCTCTATAAAATCTATTTCTTCTCTAGCGCCGTCTGTTCCCTAACCAACTTCATGATCTCGTCCATAATCCCCGGCATGGGAACTTTAGCTGGGCTCCCCCTCTGGTCGACAAAGAAATCCCTATACACCTTCTTGTCCTCAAATGGCGGCTTCCACTCCCAATTCGAACATCCCAGCCTCTTGGGCTTAAACCTCAGCTCGCTTAAGATCACTTTGTTGAGTTGCGGGCGACCTAGAGTACGGATGGTACCGAGCGAGATCTCGGCACTAGGCGGAAGCTTCTTGACGTAGCGGGCGACCATCTCGCGAGAAACTCGAGCCCAGGGAGGGAGATGGAGATATGCGTGGGTCACATAGGGGGGACTGCGCATGACGAGTGAGTTGAAGGCTCCATAGGAAGATGAGAGGAGAGCATGTACCTGGTGTATTGCATGAACGCTATGGGGATGGTGCCGGCAATAATAACTGCAATTACAATGGTTATTCTGGCTTCGACTCATGCCTCTGAATAATATATATAAGGAACGCTTACTTCCCACAGGAGCCCAGTAGCCATAATCAGTCTCGACGCCAACCGACGGGGCGGCAATGAAGGTGCAGAACCCCGCGACAAAGAGTGTCGCCAACTTCAGTGTCGCCACAAATACAATCCTCTGACCAGCATAGTATACCAAAATCTTGTCGCCCAGGCCTGGGATCACAGTCAGTCTTCCATATTTCCCTCAAATACCCCGGGGGAGGATGTCCTTACCTTTCGCGGTAATTACAGCGTCGTCCTCTTTCATCCCCTTACGGCCCCAAAAGTTCAAATTGCGGCATTGGATTCGGCTGGTGAGTGAGGTGGGCTTTGCTTGGAGCCGGATTGCCCGTAGCAATGGTGTCGGTCTGAAAATCATTTTTTGGAGATGTATGAGCTCATCCTGGAAATTAGTGGGGGTTTCAGGGTTGTTGAGCGGAAGAATGTCTTTGTTTTTGTGAGTGAGTGATCTCCGATGAATGTAGAGATGCGGATACTGATCTGGCCAAGTTTGAACATGAATGAGCCTTGCCCTACATAACCCTTACCCGTTCAATTGAATAGAGCAACTGATAGACCATGATTTACGGATTTTTTTCCACAATAAACACAAATACTCTAATTATAACCCTAACCCTTCTTCGGATATGAGCATATTTGTCCCTCCCGATTGATTGATTGACAATTCATTCGTGTACGCAGCCCATAGGCTATGACACTTGTCCCTCCCTAGCAGCAATAAGATATGGTTTGAAAATACTGTTTTTGTACCAGAAACATACAGATAAAGCTAACCCCGGATGACCTCAACTAAAGTACAGGAGTACAAGACACTTTATATAGGTATTTGAACTTGCTGAAAAATCCCGACTCTCTATCATTATCATTCGCATTATACAGATAAACTCGGGTGTGCTCTACTATTTTCGATGACATATCCACAAAGATCAGCTCTTTAGAGAAAACCCGCAGACGCCCGCTACCGCTCTTGCCACCGAGAAAGGGATCGTGGACGCGTCCATCATTCCCGACGCAAACATATCATCCAAAAAGAACGGCAAGCTCCAATACAGCCACATTGTCGTCCACAGAAACCCTACAACCTTGTGCCACACCCGCACCTCTGCATGACCTCCCGTAGCACGAACATACCATGAAACCACTGCTTCCTCAAATAAAATTGCGATAGCCTGGGAAGCAAAGAAGAATATGGTACCAAGAGGGAGGCCATGATGGTCTGGACCTAGCATCACTCGCAATGGGAGTGCATGGAAGATTCCGGAGAGGGTGAAGGTGAGGATAAGGTGTACAATTGCACCGGTTTCGTCGGTGAGTCGAAGCGTTCGGACCGCAAATTTAGCATAGGAGCTGAGAGTCTTGGTTGTGTCAGTCCTTGAGATTCTTGATACGAAGTTTAGAGGAACCCTACCCTACGGATGAGTTTGTGCCAGAAGCAACCCCATACACGTCTCACAGTGAAAGCGTCCCAAATATTCCCATACAATGGTGGCCAGTCCTATGATTAAGATTTGTCAGTGACACGAAAATAATAAGCTGATGTGGATTCAACTCACCTCCGGGCGACTTAGACCCAGACCCACAAACGTGATTGAGGTCAATAAGTGATTCAACTGAATTCCACAGAACATGACATATGCCGCTGCCGCTGTAGTCGCGAAACTCCAGATGAAAGGGTGATCACTCAGCGGAGTATAATCCCCACCAATCGAGCCAACATGTCGGTGTTGGGAAACCAGGAAACTGTGAAGGATATCATATCCTAGACAGAGTTGAATGAACTGGATAGCGTGGCTCTTGACAAAGGCTTTCCTTGAACGGTATTCTCGCTTTCCCTCGATGCGTGCGATGCCTTTCACTTGGTAGTTCCAATGTATCCCTTTACCTCGCCCATTAGAGACATTCCAAGAGGGAGGGAGTGCAGGTCTCACTTACCACGTGGATTAAAGATTTGGGCGGCACCCCACTTCAACTTCTTCCACCCAAACATCCCATATCCTAATGCCTCGCCCGGCTTCTCGCCAACCCTCCAGAACACCGCCTCCGGAACACTAAACAACAACCGATCTATGGTGGCCAAATACGTGGGCCACGCCATCCCCAGACCATAGGTAATCTGCGGGTCATCGCTGACCTTTTCGGAGTGAAGAATCACCGCGCAAGCGACGATGGCAGAGACGAACACAATGGAGCGCCCTGGGAATGGAGGCGACCATAACGAGAGTATTTGGAGGCCGGGGAGGATTATGAAGGCGGTGATAGGCGATATTAACATCTTTCCGGGCGGCGCGCGCGTGGTGTTTGGAAGGGGCGTCACGTCGGTCAGGGGTTAACGCGATACCTCGTGGGTCTTGGGGACCATCACGCCAGAATGCCTATGTGGATTAGAGTAGGGGTAGAGTAGAGTGTGTATGTTGTACTTTGTGTGAGTTTTGATTCTCGGCACGGTGCGTCATTGGTCCCTGCATTTCTGGCCAGCTATGTTCGGAATTTATATGTTCTGTTCCTTCGGGCTCCAGAATTGACATCCCTGCCACGCGGGATGCCGAACATTGGCTTCGACCGCCGGGGTACTGTAGGGTAGGTCGGAATCGGTATCCCGTTAAAGTTGTTCAACATACTACATACTCCTAAATCGTGGATAGAGATCGCTCAGAACCATCCTCAAGGTTCCACAAGAGACCATGAACTCATCTCTTATGTCCTTATTCACAGACAGCAGAACAGATACGCTGTTTCACCTGGTGTGGTCCACGAGGCATTGACGCTCGAGACCTCGCCTCGAGAGAGCTCAAGGCATGGGGGTCGACGAGGCGAGCATACTCGAGGAAAACCCTCTTGCTCGCCTCGAACTGCTCGAGGTTAGGCAATCATAGTATTAGTGGCATATATTCAGTAGGGTTGATATTTCCGATAGGAACATTAGAAGTTTTCCCTACATTTGCATACCAGTATCACAATAAAATGCAATTTTGACAGATCTAAACATAGTAATTACATGTATCTGCCTCGAGCCAGCTCGAGCACCTCGAGGCATCACCTCTCTTTGCATGAGCAAGCAAAGGCATAGACCATACGAGGCAGAGGCACCTCGAAGCACTTGCCTCTACTCGCCTCGAGCAGCCTCGCGGACCACACTAGTTTCACCTTTTATGGGGAGATTAGTTAGAATCGGACGCCAACACGGCCCAAGTTCTTTCTTTCAGCCTTCAGACGCATCACAGACTTTGGAGATACTTAGATGTAATTTTCCCTGTCAACGAGGCCACATTCACAAAGCTACTTACGATTCGTTTGGGAAATTCTAACAGCGCTTTTATGGGCTCGGATTTATTTTCACAGATTCTTTGTAATTAGAGGAGGCACCGAGTTGCGGATAGATTGATAACAGGGCTGGTAAAAAAAAAAACCGTTTTAACATCACAGGCTTTTCAGGGCATGCTTTGCTCATATGAATGAATGGTTCCAGAGGGGGTCGAACCCTCGACCTTGGCGTTAACATTCAACCCTTGAGGGGTATGATATTAGCACCACGCGCTAACCAACTGAGCCATGGAACCGTGACATGCGTGCAAATTTAGTGCTTTTTCAATCATTGACATACTACTCAATTGTCGGTGACGGTTGAAGCTTGAGTTTGTCGAGTTGTAAAAGGTTCTGTTTTACCCTGTAGCTTTCTACCTCTTGGATGTAGGCATCGATCACCACTTGAGTTGAAACATTCATCCACTGTCGAAAATCCAGCAATATATATGCTGGATAGCCGCAGAAATGCCCAGAGTGAATCACTTTGTCCGTGCTGGTTCTCCACCTGTCGAGTTCTTGTTAGACGTCCAAGGAATCAGAGTTCGCATAGAGCCGTAAGAATAATTGGCGGTGCTGGGGTATCTCTCGTAAAATCCCTCTATATAAATCAACAGGACTTAATTCTACGTGGGTATATATCTACACGCGCCGTACCCTAAAATGTAACACTCCGAGATGTAGTTGTTGGTTCACGCCCTCAAAGCTAAATAGAACAATCAACTACTTTTTCAATGTTATGCCTGATCCACCGCCCACAAAATATGAATAGAATCCAGCTTACTCAGCTATAAGAATCACTGCTACCATCAAATCGCTCACTCATCAACCTGTACACTTTCCATACACCTCCAGCTCCAATCGTCGAGTTGAGATGACTTCAGTCGGCTTGGTGGTCTATGCCAGATATCAAGAATCAATTCCTATTACACCCAAGTTAGAACGTGTCCTCATTGCGTTTAAAGGAGGGGTCCGTCATTGGAGACAACCAATGTTTCCACCGGTGGCGAATTGCTTTCGTGTAACAGGTACTGAATAGCCCCCGTTTGTTGGGTAATCGTTTCGTGGCGACCTCAAGTGTTCGTCAATGCAAAGGTCAACCATTGCATCCGGCCGCGGCCGGGGATTTTGTATTTTAAAGATATCAAAGACGTGTTGAGTGATGAAGCAGCAAGGGCTGTTCATAGATGGATTTCCTTATGCCGAGGATAGTGTAAGGCTGGCGAAGGCGCAAGGCTTTCAGCGCCGATTTGGTGAAAGTTGGAAGGTTGTATGCATGTAGATATCAAGTATACCCGATGTTTAAAGCGACAGAAAGTATCCAAACAGCTGTAAACCAAGGTAACTCCGCGCAGAGCTTGGTGTATGATGTAGGCACGTACAGGTGCATTAGAGTGTTCTAGTCTAAGTCCAATCCGCTTAGTGTAGGGCCTGTCCCTACAGCATGCGAGAAATTTATGCAGCTGGTCCGCACACACGTGGCTTTCATACAGAGAGACAAAACGTTCGGTTCGTCTACCCTCCAGCTTCATGAGTCCATTCTTAGCCTCAGTCCATTTTTTTGGCATCTCTGCCGAATAGTGGATTAAGCCCCGAGATGAATCACTAAATCTCACTCGGCATATAATAGCAGAAGGAACTCAACCTTTATCCCTCCCAAGTTAACCTAGCGGATACTATAGCACTACTATCGTTTCTACCCATATCACACCAGCTTACTGTCGATACTTTTACGCCTTTATATTAAATCGGGAGGGAGTAGTCTCATCCTCGGGGGGTATTTTGGGCCGATAAAGCTGCGGCGGGCGTTTTTGAATGAGTGTAAAGGCGATGGGGGGGGGGGGACACGAGCTCAGCACTGCCACGTATATCGTTATCCGTGGATTATCTACCCTCTCAATACCTGTCACACGTAGTATGAGGGCAATAATAGGATTCTCAATTTATCTTTCTTCTAGGTGCCAGACAGAATGAATAGCAACAACGGCACGCCATCATATTCAACAGAGGCCCTTAGAAGGTCGGTCGTAATCACGACCTCATCATGATCACTCTATATATAGGGACAACGATGTCCTGGTAATCATATCTTGACCCTATATTACTCCTAATTCTTAGTCCTTCTGGGTCCTGGTTGATTTATAATGGCTGGCCGCAGTTGAGAGACATCGGTCGAGTGATTACCTATGACCCAATTAGCTGGTTGGGGCGGTGCTATCAATATACCTTCAGCTTTCTTACACACCCGCTCGTTCAATTTATGGTTCATTATATTCTTTATACGAGAACATGGTGCCCCTTTGATAGAAGTATAATTTGATAGTTAACCTTTCGCTCTCAGTATATCGTACTAGTACAACAACATCGGCGAAGCCAGTAGCTACCTAAACCTATCATTCCCCAACACCATCTATTACCATTTTAAACACTACATACAAATTTAAGATTTTATAAACCAGCCCATGGAACAAGCCAGTATGAAAGCGCTACTTATTTTCTATTTCCCCTTCTTCTCCTTGGTCGCCATCTCCCTCCCAACCCTCGCCGCCTCCTCCTCAAACCTCTTCGCGCATCTCCACCCCTCAAAGGCACACGTTATCAACCACTTCATCCATGGCCCGGTGTACTTCCACCCAGGCAACTTATCAACCTGATGCTTCCTGAGCCTATCATTCATATTCATGACATCTCTACTCTTCTTGACTAGTATGGCGGCATGCACCAACACCGCCGCATTGAACTTCCACTCAGGCTCAAACAGGATCTTCAGCACATCTGGCCCATACTTAATTTGCACAAATATCAGCACAGTCAATGCTACAAACTGTAATATCGACAGCCATCCCATGTAATGATCTGGTAGGAGGTAGCGGGTGACAATAATATCACTGCGTCCTTCATTGCGACGGGTGGCCTCTTCCTCCATCTCGCGGATGCGCGCGGCGCAGACGGTCTCCCATTCGTATTGCTCGCCCTCGGAGGCAGAGTCGGAGGGAATCGGGGGCAATGGAGGGGTGAAGGCAATGGTGGCGGTACGTGGGAGGGGATTGGCCCAGGGTTCGCGGAGGGGCTGCGAGTAGGTGACGGTCATAGACTTAGAGGTGATTTTTGTTACGAGAGGGTTGAGAGGTTGAAAGGCACCATCGTGGAATGTGAGGAGGGAAGAGAGATAGGCTGGAGGCAGCTGGAGAATGATGTTGCGTACGGGGATGGGGTGCTGAATGAGCGTTGTGGGATCCATCGTTGCGATATGTAGGACCGTAGCACTGGGTTTGAGGGATGATAATAGGCAGTCGACGCAAGGGACAGATATTTATGCAAAGAACTGATAGGGCTGTTAGGAGAGCAGGAGAGCAGGAGAGCAGGAGAACAGAACAGATCTCAAGAAGGAAAAAAAATATATCTTCACTTCCGGCTTCGCTAACTCTTGGTATGTAACATCTTTATCGCCAAGTCTTTTCCAAGACCACACGTGGGGCCTGGGGGAGACAGCGATTGGCATCCCCCCAACTACAACTATCCTGTGCTACATACCACCAATTACCACTGGTAGTTATATTTCTACTGTGCTACAACAACAATGTTTTCCTTTTTACAGCAGTGGACCAGTCTCCCACGCTTCTCGTTCAAGCTTCATAAGCGCCGCTTGCTTGTGCGGGAAGGCAAATTCTTTTTCTTTGTAGAAGCCCGCTTCGGTTAGGTATCTGATGAACCTGCAATTGATGTTTAGCCCTGCAGCTTGAAACAAACTAAGTGGTCGCGCGACCCATTTCCCTCATGGGGATAATAGTAATCAATAATTTATAGAGACAAGGGAAGAGACTCACTTTTCATTATCAACCCTTGGTTCCAGCATCACAGTCTGCGTCCTTGGATCATCCAGAAACATATCTACCACCAGCATCAATCAGTATCACTAACTCTCAGCACCATATATGCATGCCAATCATCACAGCCAATTAAATTAACACTCACAATGCACCAAGCTTGAAATCCAGACGCCCACCCTATGGGGCCCCCTAAATTTCTGCTCCCCCACCAAACAATGCACACCCCTCTCCCACGGCCCACAGCCTGTCGCAAATTTGCCCAAGTTATCTTCCTTCACCCAATACACTTCAAAATACCCAAATGGCTCGTTCCCCCAGAACCCAATCACGGGATAACAATGCCTACTCTCTAGTCCCTTCTTAAGGAATCCCCGTGTCTTTTCAACATCCCCACCGTCCTCGCCCCAGAACTCGGCGACCCGCGGATCGTTCATCCACCGGTGAACCAGCTCCGCGTCAGTCTCTGCAGAGGCCAGGCGAAAGCTAATGAATTCCTGCAAGGACGGAACCCAGCGCTCGTAGAGTATGCCTTGTTGCGGACGTGGGCGAAGAGGATGGCGGATCCCGTTGGTGATGGTGTATTCGAGAGGCTTAGGATAGAGGCGTTCGTGAACAGCCTTCCAGGGAACTTGCCAGAACGACGAACGGGCAGCATATACATGGACCTCCGCGGTCGGGGACGAGGAAGTGTACGAGAGTAGCCCTACTGCAGCTCCGAGTTCCACGCTTACTGGATCAGAGAAGAGCCCGGTGGTGGTATTGATATTGACAACCCAGGGTTTTCTCGGGTCCTTTTTTGCGGCAGGTTTAGGTGCAGGGTGGCAGAAATACCAGTAGAGGGCTAACCACAGCCTGTAGACCGCTGGAGACGAGTCAGGGTTGTGGCAGAAGAAGGTAATTGTGTCAGAGGTGCTAGATGGGAAGTCGGTTGGCGAGCCGTGAGTTACTTCTATGGAGCCTGGGTACTCGGTTGATGAGCCGAGTGCCTCAACGGAGAAGCTGAGGTGTGAAGACGCGTCTTTACGGATAACGAGTGTTTGGCCAGTGGGGAGGCGGAGGTTTGAACCTGCAGTCGGGGAGGACATTGCGTTTGTTTTGGATATTGTAGTCGTGCGTGGCTTACTGGATGACGGGTATATGGTAAGTAAGTCTATAATCTATAAACAGTATTAAGTCATCCATTCTCGTAGCACAGGAAACCTACAGGCAGCAGTGACAGTATCTCGTCCTTCGTCAGTTTAAAAACTCAATTGCAAGTTTCCAATGCACACTCCCCCATATTAATACCCCGCCCTTCTGCCCTTATCCAATAGCGTAATAGCGCCAGGGATTCCCTACCAACTAACCGGGTTGCAAAAGAAAGAAGGGAAAAAGAAGGCCCCTTTAATTTCTCAAGAACCGGTGATGGTATCATTACCACTAACTAGTTTTATCAGATCGTACGATAATCAATAAAATGCCTCATTCAATGGAAGAAAATTTGATCTGATAATGATAACTACATAACATGTAGGTTTCGTCTTGAGAAGTGTCTCACCCCCACGCTAATCTAACTGATAAGAGGTGAACGCCACTTTTGTGGGTAAACCATTTGTCATTGGTAACAGGGCTTGGGCAAGATAGGAATGGTGGTTGCCTGCAACGTGCACTCAAACTACGAGTAAGGGGGCAAAGGTCGTGAGTGGGAAATCTCGTAAGGTGCGCATGCGAGATAATGCGATTCATAATCCAATCGTTCGTACACAGGACCCTACGGGCACATATCGATAAGAATAGATCACGAAATAATCTTGCGTGTGCGGTCAATGTCACATCTGGTATCCACAAAGAATTTGCTACGAAGTCCATATTCGAAAATTTTGAGGATGCTCTTGAAGCTCTTTAATCCGCTATAAACATCTACGAAGAAAAGAAAGAAACAGCCCAAACACCAATCAATCAATCAGCCAAAAGAAAAATACTACTTATGAAACATGAAATAAAACCTTGCCACCATTAAACCCATTCAACACACTTATCTCTCTTTACAACCCCCCACGGAGACGAAGTACCAAGTGTAGAGTCGATTCTTTCTGAATGTTGTAGTCGCTCAACGTACGCCCATCCTCGAGCTGCTTACCAGCGAAGATAAGGCGCTGCTGGTCTGGAGGAATTCCTTCTTTGTCCTGAATTTTGCTCTTCACGTTGTCGATGGTGTCTGAACTCTCAACTTCCAAGGTAATGGTTTTTCCAGTCAATGTCTTGACAAAGATCTGCATACCACCACGGAGACGGAGGACCAGATGAAGGGTAGATTCCTTTTGAATGTTGTAGTCTGACAGAGTACGACCATCTTCAAGCTGCTTTCCAGCAAAGATCAAGCGCTGCTGGTCTGGCGGGATTCCCTCCTTGTCCTGGATCTTCGACTTCACATTATCGATGGTATCAGAGGACTCGACCTCCAAGGTGATTGTCTTGCCAGTAAGGGTTTTAACAAAAATCTGCATACCACCACGAAGGCGAAGGACAAGATGTAAGGTGGATTCTTTCTGGATGTTGTAATCAGAGAGGGTTCGTCCATCTTCAAGCTGCTTACCAGCGAAAATGAGACGCTGTTGGTCCGGTGGGATGCCCTCTTTATCTTGGATTTTGCTCTTGACATTATCGATAGTGTCCGATGATTCGACCTCCAAGGTAATGGTCTTCCCAGTCAGAGTCTTGACAAAGATCTGCATACCACCACGAAGGCGGAGGACAAGATGGAGGGTTGATTCTTTTTGAATATTGTAATCCGAAAGAGTGCGGCCGTCCTCAAGCTGCTTGCCGGCAAAGATAAGACGCTGTTGATCTGGGGGAATGCCCTCTTTGTCTTGGATTTTGCTCTTGACGTTGTCGATCGTATCCGAAGACTCAACCTCAAGAGTAATGGTCTTTCCGGTCACTGTGAACTGTTAGAGATGGCAAGGTAGAAGCAGGAGTTTCATGGAAACCTACAAGTTTTGACAAAAATCTGCATTCCTCCACGTAGGCGAAGAACCAAGTGAAGGGTGGACTCCTTCTGGATATTGTAATCGGATAATGTCCGACCATCTTCGAGTTGTTTGCCTGCAAAGATGAGACGCTGCTGGTCCGGGGGAATTCCCTCCTTGTCCTGGATCTTGCTCTTAACGTTGTCGATAGTATCTGATGACTCGACCTCAAGGGTAATGGTCTTGCCGGTGACTACAAGTCGTCAGTATTCAATATTCGCCACCAGCCCTTTGGCACGAAGGGGAGAAACTCACGAGTTTTAACAAAGATCTGCATGGTATTAGTTGTAGAAGGAACTTTGTGAATATAAGGAGATGGTGATTGCAATGAGATAGGTCTTTGAGGACGAGGGTGGAGAGGTTGATATATGAAAGATGTAGGAAGGAACGAAGAAAGAGAGGGAAGGGGACGTTTTTAAGAGTTGGGTGGCTGGCTATGGGCTCAGACCCATTCTACAGGTTTGTGGCTGAATAAGCTGCGCATGAATCATAGAATAATCGCGAACGATCGAGAGGCAACTGATTCCGCCCCTGCACTGCCACCTGTAGGCAGGCAAAACTAACAACTCAATTTCTAATCTACTATTAATTGAACCCTCCCATTGACAAATTTCTGGATACAACTAGCTGGTTGCGTCCTCTCAAAATGCTGAAATGTAGCTTCTCCGAGCTTCCCCAAGCTTCCCCAATAGCCAGAGTGCCCGAGGTTAAGGAAACAAGACACCTACAGATTGTGGTAGAATTAATGCGAAAGTGGGTTTCCCGTGACCCGATAGTCCCATTGGCCCTCAAAGGAATTTTTGCAGTGAGCACGGGCCAAGAAACCCACCCTTTTAGTTCTGACTTTCGCAATAATTCTACCGGACACTGTACATGTAGTAGTACATGTATGTGTCATAGGCGCTAGCACTGCAGGGGCGGTTCGCCGCTCGCTATGGTTGACCGCCTTATCTTCCCCGCCTCAGCCACACAACTAACCCTTGCATCCGATGGAGGTTCCACCTTCCCAATCTGCAGCTAACACCCTCAAGTCCTTCTTCCTGCTGCACAGAGACGTCATTGCTATGTCCATGGCCTTGGAACCTTCCCCAGAAAACACTGAGGGTTTCGGGTATCAGATGACGCTTAAAATTATCGATATGCTTGACCTCGCGCTTTTGTTTCTGTTATCGATAAACAAGCAAAGAGCGGGGCCCCCGCATCAAACTGAGTATCCGAGAGGTATCCCGGATTCTCGGCCCGTACTGGATGCAAAATGGGAAAAAAAAGGTACAGAAAACTATCGTGGGATATGCCTTTGTGGGAACCCGAAAACCAATGACCTTAAAGAAGGTGCACCGTCATAGATACAGTAGTACTACATCCTACTTGTACACGACAAGCCTTCGAACACTTGGTCAATACCAACATCAACAAATCATCTGAAGCCAAATCATGGTTGACCGCGTATAGAGACCTCATTCGCCTTTAATTCCTATGGATGACATCGGTCGGACCGACGACCTACCGAGTATTGATCAAAGCAATATCTACGTTCTGAAAATTTTGTATGCCCCAAGAAAATTCCCCACAATCTTACTCTATCAATTTCAGGATAAAAATTTCAGAGATCAAAGGTGAAAATGTGACCTTTTTTTTTTCACGCCTCCACGTGCACGTGCACCTCTTTTTTTTTTTTTTTTTTTTTTTTTTTTAGATTAAATGTTGAAACTAATGCCAGCAGAGACACTTCAGGATCACCAAAAATTCGGCAGATGAAGATTTAAACCTACACATTTCAGGCCAAATTTACAAATTAAGTCAATAGGTAAAGCGAAGAATAATATGTGGTTAAACACCTTTGAACCGGCGAAAGATCGTCGATTTGGGGCAGATATGAAGAGGAAACTTTCAAGCGGGGTAGCTGGACACCACGGCTCTTAAAACGGCTCTTGACTACCCTCGATTTACGGCGGCTCGAAAAGTGCAGTGATGTCTGCTTTTTGTTGTCGGGAGATTTTTTTATCTTTTGAGAGGTCTGCGTGGGTCCTTTGTTCTCGAATGACAAGACATTTGTTTCCGAGCTCTTTAGATATCTCAAAACTTGATCATTCGGCATGGGGTCAACGCTTTTCATATTTCTGCGGATAACATATGCATGAGGCCTGTGTTCACTCAGGTAAGTTTTGTACCATGGCCCGGTTCTTCATATCTCACATTTGGTGGTAATTACTGACGAATATGCAAAACATAGGGATCTACGTTTGAACCAGGAACCATTTGATGACATCCATAACAGGCGGTAAACATTGAGTTATATACATCAAATATTTGATAGGTAACAGCCCACCTCTTCCCGAAATTGTCGCCTTCACTGATGTATGGTACTGTAGTTAGTAGCGAAAAAAGAAGAACGCTTTCAGAAGTTGAGACAATGATCTATTGCATCCCCGATCCTCACAATCCAGAGACTATATCGATCGATGAGCCAATTTACAACTTCTGCCATTCAACTTTTTATCTCGAACCCCAGTCACTGGTTATACATTGTCTCGGCATTCTTACTCTCGGTATAGATTCTGCATGTTTCCTTTTCATGTGCCGAGCTTCAAGAATTCCTTTTTTTGTACGAGGAAAAGCTGTCCACTCGCACGGGGAACGGCGTTGATCCCGGTTGGCTGGCGGCTCGTTATTCAACGAATTTTAGACGCATTCGACCTTTTAATTCGTCCCGATGCCTTTCATCAAGCGCTTGTTGAGCTATGTTAGAAAATTATACGAGATAAACGCCAACACGTGACTTAACTTCATGCGGGGTGCTGTGCTGATCATGCCGGCAACTGGTCCGAGTAATGGGCGAGAGTGCTCATAGGATTTGCAACAGTTTTTATATGCTTGTGTGTCCACGGCATAACCACCCCGTTTCCCGCACTTGAAGCCAAAATATACAGACCCCGATTCAACAAAGAATTACCCAGCAAAAGTCAAGGGTTCTAGTTTTCGGCATGAAAAGGTCCTCTTATCGAAAACCTGAAGGAATAGCACCCAACATTCTCTACAAGGATCGCGCACAGAGCATTTGTATCACCGAAAAGAAATATAGTAATTAACCTGATCTCGACAAAGACCAGATACCTACGACTTCTGTATATCTACCGGAACCACGATCTCTATGGGGCACGGCATGCGGGCATTCACAGCAAGTCCATAAAATACAGGCTTGGAAGGGTTACGGGAACTGGTACCTACTGGATCACCACAAGCCATATGGAGTACAACATGGTTTCCAATGTTATGGGATTCTAAAAGGATCTCTGTGATCTTTAGGCCTCCCTTTTAGCCATTCTCCACATCCCTTTGTCTCCTACTCCCCGAACCTCCTTCAGTGCACGAACGGTACTTCCAAGATCTTCACTGTTAGATTTCATGGCCTAAACCATAAACCTGATAGTGTTGTATTTAGAGATGTCTGAGGAATACACGTTTGCGGGACACTCCTTTTCGTAAAGGGTGGCGACGTATATTTCCGCTCTAGGAAGATAAAGTTATTTTATTTTTTATTATCTTTGGGTTTATTCTATCCCTATTAGGTTGCGCTGGAAATATGGCCTGTCACAATAATCCTTACCAATGTTTGTTGGATACTACGGCATAGATCATCTGCACTCTTCGATCTAGAGTATCGATTCAATTAGATTGAAAGGGCTAATGATGAAAGTTGTTACAGGTTTTGTGGGCCCTGTCCCGAGGCAAAGGTGCCACTTTCACTCAGTTGTATGTGCCAGGGAGGACCTGTGAGGAAATATGAGGGAGAGGAAAAGATCACTGACTGCAGCGCTTCTAATCCAGGGTATAAATCAGAAGATTTCGGGGTCGACCTTTTTCTGGGATATCATTTAGGTGTTTGCTCAGGATCGAGGCGAGCCCGACTGGTATACACCTCTGAAAAATGAAAGAGTTCAACAAAAACGTGATCTGCCCGTGGTCATTTTCGAGATTCGTCGGCGCTGTTGTTGAATGGTTAACCTAAAATATAATTTGGGATCATCTAGCCATAGCTACGGAGACATTAAGTCCTCAACATGTGCTCGTCATGCCATTCGATGATTCATGACGCTTGAGCACAAAACTAGCAAAAGTGGAGTCTGGACAGCTGCCCTCTTCTCCACACGAGAAAAAGCGCCAAGGCGTCACGGTTGATAGATGCTCTCGTTTTACCAGCCTTCAAAGATTAATTTCAACTTCGAGCATGACTCAGAAATATCGTCAGTAGGTAATGTTTGTAAAAACCCCAATTTTTTGTACTGGTGATATAAGTAGACCTTCTTGTACATCAGCTGAGAAAGACATGTAGGTGTTGTATATGCGTATAACTTCCCTGTTATTGCAATTAATAATTTTAGGGAATCGAACTTACCACGCAGTCGAGCCGGATGGAGTTGTCTGGATACGGGAACATAGGTATGAAAAATGACAGAGGGCAGTGATTCAAGAGTCAAAATGGTGACGAAAGAGCGGGGCGAGAAGGCAGCAAATGTTATGGACTCCATCGCACATGTTTCTGCCACTTATATCCAGTGCTACATATGACCAAAATGCTGATATCAGAGCAAGATAGTAAAGCATCATTCCTAGCTGCAACTGCGATAGCCTTTCTACAGCCGGTGATATTTCTTTCGCGACTCGGTGCAGGATACGGCTCATATTATTAAGAGAAATAAATCGTCATTTCAGGCGATTTAGACCTCATATTGTATCTGGGTTTCAAAATGAATTATCCGGCTCTTGGTCTTTCTTCAGCGCGGTACATTATACTGGTAAGTTGTGGTATACCGGTATTATCTAAACAAGGTCAATAATCGAACTTGATAGAGCTAGAGTACCTATCGATCAATACCCGAACATGTTCGTTCATACGCAATTTATTTCTAATAACCAACAACTCTCCTCTCATACACGGCTTTCATTACGATACTAAACCACCACGTATCAGTCATTTTCAAAATGATCACTTTCAGAAAAATTTATAGATTGCAAATCATATGCCCTACACCAAAGTTTGTCGTATCAGCCATAACCAACCGCTTCTACCGACAAATAACCGATATGCTGGAGACAATACTTTTGAAAGGAATGGGCGAACAGTACCGCAGAGCTTTTCCGAAAACTAGGATTCAATGTGCTTCTAGTCAATATTGTGCAACAAAAGAGACCCATCAATTTCAATCCATCCCGATGTCTTGGAAGAGGCTTTTCGGAGGTTGCTAATTATTCCGATAGCACCACATTTCGGTATCCCAGCCGAGATCCCACTGCTGTCGCCCATTGATTGGTTCACCGCTTATTGTGCATATTTTGAACAATTCCGACATCCTCTACATCGGAACTCGCGGAAAACCACAGCGACTAAATATACTTAGCCAAGAAAATCGTTGAAGTCCTATCAATGACAATCAACAAGTACCCAATTATCAAAACTTTTTGTGGATTTACTTTATCTTTACCAACAATCTTCTCGTCGTGGCAGTCGGCCGGTCCCGTCGGTTGCGCGATACATAAGAGCATACATGTATTTTCCGATATATTTATTTGATGCTACAAGAGCATTGGATCGGACCGAAAACCTACAAATGTATATCCCTGTCACATATTCTACGATAATCTACATTAACCTTTACCTCTCTATCACGCACCACGCTCAATCACTGCATTCTTTTACGTCACTAGTTGCATTAACGGCTACTTGCATGTGTTGGTCTGATGCTATAATCAGATTGCGTCACTATCGTGTTAACTCATATTCTTTGGAAAATGAGAAGACCACGAGATCACATACATACACACATACATGATTGAATTCTGTCTCCGATAATATCATTACCAGGTCCATTGAGGGAGGTCGATACTTTCGGTTTCTGTCATAGACCACTACAGATTTCATAGAGGAAATCATCTCTATCAGCTCTCAAAATTCGATTCGCAGCTAGCCAACCTTACATCTGGCTAAGATAGTACGCATGCAAAGAATCACGAGTGAGACCGAATATACCGACAGATATACGTCTCACGTGCATGTTAAATACCCCCACTCATTTCCACTAAATGGTATTTGTCTATACAGATATAATTTTAAATCATTGATCCGATTAATTAATTCAGGTTTCATCACGACTAATCCGGATTTAGGATGTCGAATATAATGTGTTTTTTTTTTCCATCCGCGGTGTTTATGGAAAGTTTCGATGCTGCATATAACCCTGAAAGCGGTGGTACGCAAAGCTAGCATGTACCTAAGTAATTAATACCCTACCCCGCAGGAATTAAGTGCGATATCGTGGCACAAAATAGCCATGATGGGTAATTAAGGCGAGAGCATGCCGGCAGCATTCATATTCAACAGCTTCCGGAACGTGTGCGCTTGGATATGCTTTTCTTTAATTTATTCTTATGCAGTTTGTATGTTGCACCAACCATTGGAGGAATACTAAGAAACGTGCATGGTGATAGAGTGCACATACTGAAGTAACTGATAGCCAGGGGATCAGACTTCCATCCGTTGCGATTTCAATCATAAAAAAAACGGTGCTGTTAATAGATTGTAATCAAGCCTGAACTAATCTTGCATGCGTTTACATGGAAATATAGGCTAACCAAATTCAAATTCCGAATAGTAGAAATAATAGTACCTATTAACACAAATAACATAAGCTTCGGGGTCTTGAGCACCTACACAGTTTCCCAATCTTTAATAATTCTCACACGGCAGATCGCCCATTGAGTGCATCCAAGACAGGGGATCCAGGACACGTTTCGCCCTTCGATAAGCCCCCAGGCCTAGATATCATGAGGGCTCTGGTGCCAACATGTTCCTGACTCTGTCCATTTATACTGCATGATTGGTTATGTTTGAATGTGTGGTATCACTGAATATCAAGGCCTTTCTGCAGTTGCCTAGCGAAGAGCGGGGCGAGCCAAACTCAGACTTCGCCGCATGATTGCGAACCAGTTTCCTGGATATCTTGCCGACTTCTATTTGTTTATCGGAGTATTCACTGTCCAAATGCATACCAGTGTCTATTGAGGCGTCATACAGAACATAAGTTGGGATTCTACTCGCGTTTCCGGACGCAACTGCTATTGCATACACAGAAAAAACCCGCCAAGGCTATCTTTTGTATGGCATGCAATAGTGGTCGCGTCCGGAAACGTCAAAAAACTACGAGTAGTTGTTGGACTCTGGACGTTTGACAAAGTAGATCATGTGAGGTACTGTCCGATACATTCCAGTCTTTGGTGATTTAAGGTTGGGAAGCTGTGTCCGAGCTTCTTCTCGATTTTTGATATTTCAAGATTGATCTATCTGTCTCGAGCCAAATATCAACAGCTAATCGTCGAGTAAAAGTCGAACTCAGACTTGTTTTGATCGCCGATTCATCTCGCTTCCTTCTCCTTCTCGGTCTTTTCGACAACAGTTCAACAGGCTTTTCTTGCGGGCGCAACTGCTGGAATTGTGAACGGCACAGAAGCAGAGGGATTTTCTTTCCAGTAGCCAGAAACAAGTGAAAGTCAAAAAGACTTTGAATCTCCCACATAAAAAAGTCGTTCCGCTAGTTTTTGCTTGTATTGCGGATATCAGAGCGGCAAGCCCACATAAATCTGGTGCTATTTAGCAACATCAAGTACAGGATGGCGGTCTCACACACGAGAACATACTGGCAGTCACATCTGCAAGGTGGGTTCATCTTGCAGTTCTTAATTATTATTTGGACATTCTACTACATCCCCAAAGACACTTTTGTCTGATCACCCAAATTTTCGTATTCTTCGAACTATACTCACATGCTTGCGGTGCCACAGAGCTATGCGCAACCAAATCCCTCCCGAATCCTACTTACGAAGTCTTTGAGCATAGCGGCGGGAGTATACCCATGGACCGCAGCCCTAGTAGTGCAGATGCAGGAGGAAACGCGTCACCATCAGCAACGCACTTTGGTCAATCATGGTATTCTTGCGTTGTTAGTGTAGGAGAGACAGACTACGAGACCAGCTATGTGTACAAGGCCGAAGAGAACGCCAAAGAAAGGGCTGCGAAAAAAGCCTTCGAGGCCTTGAACAACAACACCTGAAGGTCGAACAGGAGCTAGAGTCTCGTTTCCAACATTCATTCATTCCACTGACAGGGCTGAATTGTGGGGTAGGAGGGACAATCATGGCAACTTGCATGCGAGGGGTCTCTTCGCCGTGCATAACACGGGATATTGGAACGGATCTTAATGTGCGAGACCTGGTTTTCTTTTTCTATTACCTTTTTTTCCTTGGGTTAATCGGCAGCATGCGTCTCGTGCCTGTTGCGAATATTTATACACTTCACTTACTGTTTCCCATTCCTTTTTTTCTATCTCGTTTCGTTTCAGTGATGTTTATTGATTTTACTCTTTCTTTAAATATTTGCTTAGTCGTCCCTTTTTCTTCCTTTGCGTACGCATACTCCAATGTATTTTTTTTGGGCGCTTCCAGAGGAAAGAGAGGAGGGAGACAGGGAAGTAATTTACTTAGCAGCTTGTCATATTTCATTTTATCTTAAGACTTGGTGCATATATGGGATAGATCAGGAGGAGGGCGACAAGGAAATTTAGGGCCAATTATTACAATACTTAAATCAATTCCCCAAAGATGCATGATGTAATATCAGTTATTTTCTAGATACGCTCTCTATAGCTACTGTACTAGCTCTGTAACTACCTCTCTATGTATTTCCTCTCGATTTCATCGACGCCCTTTGATAGAATAGGTAGATCGCTGCTTATCTTCCGGAGCTATCCCAATAGCAGAAAACCATCCTCTCTCCCCGTCCTGCACTGCGCATGCTACAGCGAGAGGTAGAATTATTGTAGAAACAGGGGTCTAAAAACAGGGTTTAGGTGGCTGACTCGGCCAATAGGACTCTTCCCATGCTTCTACAATAATTTTACCTCACACCGTAGCACAGGTAGCGATCCAAAAGTATTTGCGACTATTTCTCCCACTTGCTACATGCTCGACTGCTCCATGGTAGATTATACGAGCCAATCCTGTATTTTTTTATTTTAATTTACACATTTATAATCGACTTTCCTTAACGGGATATTCTTAGAATTATCGCAAAGATCACTTGTTGCCCCTAAAGGCACCACACACCGCACTATCATGCATCTATTCGTCAATTCTAGAGTGAGTGTGGACGAATTGCATTAGCACTCCTACCCCTCCATGGATCCAGACGTCTAGCTTGCAGCACATCTTCCGTGCAGACGACGAATCATATGTACCCCAGGAACCCCCCGGATTCCTCCATACTTCAACGTTAGCTCCTGCTCTCCAGTACCCGTCGACAAGACACCCAAGATATCACAATCTCTCTTAGACCCAGTCCAGTTTGCAAACGAACACCTGTTCATCAGCCCTCCTGCATGCTCCAAGCGCAACGAATCTGGTACGTTCACGTATGCGAGTGATTCTGACATAGGTTCTGGACAGAATTTAGTGAAATGCCCCCATCTGGCCTCCGTTGTCGTTTCCGGACGGAAAAATGGCAAGGGTGGCGTTTGGCGTTCGACCCCTGGCTCTTTTCATCAGGTCAATGATGTGAAAAGCAATCTGGGTAAGACTCGATTTGCAAATCCCCGTTGTGCAAGCGTTTTTCTAGGTTCTAGTGCAATGTTAACGACTTCGTCGATCATCTACACTGCCTGCGCGCTCTTCCCCACGTAGAGTAGAGCCTTGTTGTACATCTCCTTTTCGTGCAGGCAACTAAGTATGGGAAGAAAAAAAAACGAACGGTCATCCATCATGCCAGCGCATCAGTGCATCCATCATCGTCTATTAATTTGTTTCTGCCTATATTGTCAATTGGAAGCTTCCATCTCAGATTCGATAATCATCTTTCTTAGCTCTGCCACATGGAACACAGAAGGGCTTCGGTAAGGCAACCGGTGGGTCCAATATGTAAAACATTCAATTTCGTTTCCGAAAGCTTATGGATACGCTGGCTATCCTCTGTTCCTGTCAACCCTTTGGGGTCCTCAAGCCTCGTTCTCTAGAACAGAGACTTATCGAAATAACAACACGAACCACATCTACTCTAGGAAACCTTCGGCTATCCATGGGCCGTGGCATAGAGCACATGCAATATGCTTGGTTCAAGGCGAAGGTGAAGGTTGTTGTTGATGCTGATGCGGTTCATACGTGCAATGCGGCAAGCATCAATCGAACGAATCGATCACCACGCCAGTATATTTGAGTTTCCCACTTCAACACATATCTCTCCGGGGTATCAATTGCCATACGTCCAACGACTGAGCAAGGAGATAGTGATTTGTTAAGTCTACATCTGCAGTGTGGGCATGGGTGGGGGGGGAGATGGATGCTCTTCTTTTCCTATCAGTTTCAGTTCTTCAGAATGTTTTTTCGGAACAGCAAATTGCATATTGAGGTACTAGGAGCGACCTTGAGTAGCCGGCATGGCATGAGAAGGTTAGTAAGTCTCAATATCGCTATCTCACCCGAGCAGTTTCTGCGGTTTTCGTTTTGGTGTTGGTTACATACATACAAAAAAAAGATCCTAGGACCTCACCTTTTCTGAGACCTCCTCTCCCGCTTCCGCTGACGTAGAAAAGCAAAGCGAACGGGAAAGAAGCGTCACGAGAGAGATTTGCATGCTATCGATGATATTAGGAAATCACAGGCCAGGGTGGGATGGGGGGGTTTGTTGACACGATGGTGGCACACTTGGGTATCATTCGATCAGAGATACCTTACACCTTCAACGCATCAACATACTCGGCTCATCTCGCACTCCCATTCGTCTTTGAATTATTAAATTTTTTTTTCCCTTCCCTTTTCCCGTCATCCAGCTCCCCACTATGACTGAGCTGGATACGAGAGACTCTCCCCCGCACATACGAACAGTATAATACCGCTGCCGTATTCTCCCTGGATGAGGTAGAATGACCACCCATCCCCGTCATACTCTGCCCGGTCCCTCTAGAATTGATAAGAGCTATCTCTTCTAAGACCCCGCCTCATTCAACACCCCGTCAGCTCTGTGCAGAATCGTTCCGGAGTCGAAAGGATCAATTCTCACACATCAAGCCTCCAAAGCATCGATTGGCAGAAAGAGGTCAAGAGGTTTCAGCCTTACCATCAATTGAGTTCATAAATCAATTTGAAGAGAGTGTCTGTGATTTGCAGTCTGCATCTCTTCTATTCAGGCACCTTCCATTCAATTCACTCCGAGCTCTACCACACATTGAGTCGGTTCAGAGCATCTCGCAAACAGTGCCTTTAAGTCTTTAGTTCCACAGCCGCAATGTACTACATCCTATATCTCTCAAGTAGGTTTATTGTATCTCTTAGAATTCATCTTTCAAGGTCATCGGCGTCAAGCATGTCAGCTGCATAAAGCTTATTTACCCCCACCAATCTACTCTCCAGCCCAAAAGCCTTATATTGACGTTGTTTTCTCTCATAGGTCTTTGCCGACGTCGTCGCTGGTCGGACCCACACTACGAGTCCTACCAGTACCCCACCGGATTCACATGCACTGTGCGTGTCAATGGGCGAGAATACCAGTCGCAATCAGTCCTTGACACCGAGGTCCTTGCACGCGAAGCTGCCGCGATGCGCGCTTATTTGTTTTGTCGGAACTTTTCCCT